ATCACTGGGTCTCTGTACTTCTCTATGCAATGCAGGCAGATCATGGAGGGGGGCAGCAGGGTGCTCTACATAGTTTCCTGAAAACATACCAACACCCTGCCTCAATACTCCCTCTTAAAATCACTCAGTCCTGATGCAAGCAGTAGGCAGGTTTTTGGGAAGAGTTATGCAAATATCCTAAAGTCTTAATGGCTGGATATCAGTCTGGGGGGGGGGGGGTGGATGTTCCTAGATAGACTGCATTTGCATACAGACCACCATAGGTAACCCCCACCCATAATACTGAGATTCTATGATTGAATACATTCAAATCCAATGAATGAAAGGGGCTGGGCCAGGGAAAGTAAAGCTGGGGAGAAAAGAGCTTCGATGATGCTGGGTTGTGATAAGAATGAAAAAAGAACCACACTGTAAAAATTGAGTACAAAAGTTACGTTTTTATTCCAAACATAAACTGTCTACAAAATCCAATGCGTTTGCTGGGCTAAACTCCTCCCTCTTCATTTGGGTTTAAAGGAACAAAGTATGCGGACAAGTCCTGATTAGAGGGGAGGAGCTTAGCCCCGCAGACACATTGGATTTTGTATACAGTATCCTTGGGCTGCAGTATTACTGTACTTGCTGAACTGAGATGCTGGCTCAGAGATGACACTCAAACCTGTAAATCCTGGTGCCAGTGCAGTTTTTGGTGTTCACAAATGCCTGACACAGATCAGCCCGTGCTGCAGCTTTTCAACTTACTACTTGCCTACCGCCATATTTATTTATTTCAGGTACTTATATAGTGCCGTCAATTTTACGCAGCGCTTTACATATATATTGTACATTCACATCAGTCCCTAATCCTCAAGGGGCGTACAATCAAGGTCCCTAACTACATTCATACATACACATACTAGGGACAATTTATACAGGAGCCAATTAAACTACCAGCATGTCTTTGAAGTGTGGGAGAAAACCGGAGTACCCAGAGGAAACCCACGCAGGCACAGGGAGAACATGCAAACTCCAGGCAGGCGGTGCCGTGGTGGGGATTCGAACCAATGACCCTAGTACTGCCAGGAGTGCTAACCATTTAGCCACTGTGCTGCCCCCTAATATAGCAGATATACTGCTACAGGGCAGCTGCTCTGCGCAAAATCACGTGTGATTTTGCAGTTCCGGGTAGGGGGCGCGCATGCCGCCCTGCCTGCACTGCCATTGGTTGCAGTGAATGTCAATCATCGTGTCCCGACCAGTGTGATTCTCGGCAGGCACTCGGTGATCATTGCTGAAGCTGAGAGGGGTGAGATCTGTGTGTAAACAACACAGATCTCTCTCCTGTCAGTATGGACATGCTGCTTTCTATCTCTCTGCACAGCAGGTCTCCCTAGTAAAACACAACACAGTACACAGTGTAAGCACAATGTAACACAGTTAACCCTTTGATTGCCCCAGATGTTAACCCCTTCCTGCCCAGTGTCATTAGTACAGTGACAGTGCTTTTTATTAGCACTGATCACTGTATTAGTGTCAGTCAGTTTCCCCCCCCCCCCTCCCAGTGTCAGAATGCCCACCGCTGTCCCGCTATAAGTGGCTAATCACCGCCATTACTTGTTTAAAAAAATGAATGAAAAAAATTCCAGTATACATACTGCCATTTGTAAATGCTATAACTGTCACTTAAACCAATTAACCACTTCCCAACCGCCCTATAGCAGAAAAACTGCTACAGGGCGTCACGGGTGCGCAAAATCACGTGTTTGTGTGTGTTGTATTATATATATATATATATATATATAAAATATTTTTTTTTTTTTTTTTTTGCATTTCCGGGTAGGGGGTGCGCACCCTACCCGTGCTGCCATTTGCGGCTGTCAATCACCGGGTCCCAGCTGGTGATTATTCGCCGGCCCCCAAAGATTGCTGAGGATCTCTGACTGGGGGGGAGAACTGTTTGTAAACACAACATTTCTCCTCCCTGTCAGCTCCTGCACACTGCTTTGCATGACTGTGCACAGTGTGATTAAGCACAAAACACACATACCGCACACAGTTAACCCTTTGATAGCCCCTTCCTGCCCAGTGCCATTAGTACAGTGTCTGTATTTAGTTTTGTTTTTTTAGCACTGATCACTGTATTGGTGTCACTGGGGATGTTAGTGACACCAAGTCAGTTCCCCCCCCCCAGTGTCAGAATGCGTCCCGCTACAATTTGCTGATTGCCACCATTACTAGTAAAAATAAAAATTCCAGTATATATACCGCCATTTGTAAATGCTCTAACTTTCATGTAAACCAATTAATTTACACGTATTGGGATTTTTACAATTTTTTTAGGATTTTTTTTTTTTAGTAAATACATGTAGCAGAATACATTTTGGCCTAAATTTATGATGCAATTTGATTTGTTTTTTTTTCACTGGATATGTTTAATAGCAAAGTCAAAAATATTAGATTTTTTTCTCAAAATTGTGTTTTTTTTTTTTTGCACAAAAAATAAACATACAGGAAATCAAATACCACTGAAAAGAAATCTCAATTCATGAGGAAAAGCGGATGTACATTTTAGTTTGATTGCAGTGTTGCATGACCGCGCAGTTGTCAGTAACGCAAAAAATGACCTGGTCAGGAAGGGGGGTAAATCCTCTGGAGGGAAAGTGGTTAATTCACATGTTCTGGGATTTTTTTTTTTTGTTTAGCAAAAACATGTAGCAGAATATATTTTGGCCTAAATTTTGACGACATTTTATTAATTTTTTTTTTTACTGGATGTCTTATAGCAAAAAAAAAAAAAAAAAAAAAAAAAATATATATATATATATATATATATATATATATATATATATATATATAATATCCTAGATTGTAAGCTCGAAAGAGCAGGGCCCTCGATCCCCTCATGTTTTGCATTGTATTGGTATTGTTCTGTCACATGTTCTGTCCCCCTTTGTAATGTACAGCGCTGAGCGAACTATTGGCGCTTTATAAATACTGTATAATATAATAAAATAATATATATATATATATATATATATATATATATATTTTTTTTTTTTTTTCACAATTAATGGTCTTTTTTTTGTTTATAGTGCAAAAAATTAAACATGCAGAGGTGATCAAAGAGCACTGAAAGAGAGCTCCATTTGTGGGAAGAGGTTGACACAAATTTTAATTTATGTACAGCATTGCATGACCGCGCAATTGTCAAAGTAACGCAGCACCGTATCTCAAAAAATGGTCAGGAAGGGGGATAAATCCTCTGGAGGGCAAGTGGTTAAAAACGACAAAAGAATCAGCTACCTCCTCTGCCCTCCATATATCTTACGTTGTATATGTTCCAAGATAAGAACCCAGACTAGAGTTGGGGAGCTGGCATTGCAGAGGAAGTGTGATCCCTGGTGGGGAGAGGAGACTTCCTCCAGCTTGCAGTAGGCGGATGGTCTTGGCATGTGTACAGGCAGTTGACTCAAGATCAGAGGAGTGCTGTGATGAGGCCCCATGCACACTGGGCGTTTGCCCAGCTCCTCTGAATGCCTTTTTTTCCTAGTAAGAGAAAAGCAGCTTTAAAAACCTGCCTAAAAGACACATTTCTGCAAACGCTGCACATTCAGACGTTTGGGCAGTCATTCATTTCATTGGACAGAATATTAATTTTGTTCTGGCCATTGAAAAGAAGGAACACTCAAGCGTAAACGCGCCTATTGTTCAGGCGTGTTTATGTGCATTTTATGCGCGTTGGGGTTCTCTGCCGAAAAGCTCCTCTCCTGAAATCACAAATGATGGTGTTTTGTTTTTTTGGGGTTTTTTTTCTGCCTATAAACTCCTATATCTGCATGGAGGGGAGTTTTGGCCAAAAAAAATGTGAAACACCCTTAAATGTCATTTTTGACACCCAGTATTCATGAGACCTAAGAGAGCCCGTCTAGCATTTATTCATCTCGATTCGTAAAGTTTGTATAAAGTCAACTTTAACCATTTCTCGAAAGGCCCATGTAGCTTTTACTGCTACAGGAGAGACGCTCTGTGCAGAATCACATGATTCTCTAGTTCCAGCTAGGGGGCGAGCACCCACCCAGCTGTGCCATGATTTATCACAGCACATGCCGTTATCTGGGTCCCGGCCAGGATTGATCACCGGCAATCGGCTCCGAGTCTCTCAGAACACAGCTCTGTGAGTGTAAACACAGAGCTGTGTTCAGTGACAGGGGATCTCGTTGTTTTTGTAGGTGGCAGTTCCAAGAAAGTGTCAGATTGCCCGCCGCACTATCGCAGTTGCTGATCACTGCCATTACTAGTATAAAAAAAAAAAATATGTATTGTGTGTGTGTATATATATACATACCGTATTTTTCGCTCCATAAGATGCATTTTTTTTCCCCCCAAAAAAGGGGGGGAAATGTCAGTGCGTCTTATAGAGCGAATAGGGAGTGGCCGGTTAGGTATTTCCGCCACCACCACCGTGTCAGAATACTGGGGGCGGCCGTTCAGCTCTTCTCTGCAGCAGGACCTTACCTGTTCCTCTGTCCAGCGCTGTGCAGTCTTCCCACAGCGGCATCTTTGGTGTGTGCACCCGGCTGTGACAGCCAGGTGCCCACTGCGCATGCGCAAGAAGCGCTCTGCTTTGTGAATGGTACGGCGTCTTCTGGGACACATGACAGGTCGGGTGCCCACACTAAAGGGAGGACAACTCCGCGGAAGTGGGAGTGGGTACCTGTCAAATTCAGGTACCCGCTCCCCCTCCCTCCCCAAAGGTCCGCAGTCTCTTGGTCATCCCCTGTACTGTCTGCAGTCTCTGTTCATCCCCTGTACTGTCTGCAGTCTCTGTTCATCCCCTGTACTGTCTGCAGTCTCTGTTCATCCCCTGTACTGTCTGCAGTCTCTGTTCATCCCCTGTACTATCTGCAGTCTCTGGTTCATCCCCTGTACTGTCTGCAGTCTCTGGTCATCCCCTGTACTGTGTCTGCAGTCTCTGGTCATCCACTGTACTGTCCGCAGTCTCTGGTTATCCCCTGTACTGTCCGCAGTCTCTGGTCATCCCCTGTACTGTGTCCGCAGTCTCTGGTCATCCCCTGTACTGTGTCCGCAGTCTCTGGTCATCTGTACTGTGTCCGCAGTCTCTGGTCATCCCTGTACTGTGTCCGCAGTCTCTGGTCATCTCCTGTACTGTGTCCGCAGTCTCTGGTCATCTCCTGTACTGTGTCCGCAGTCTCTGGTCATCCCCTGTACTGTGTCCGCAGTCTCTGGTCATCCCCTGTACTGTCTGCAGTCTCTGGTCATCTCCTGTACTGTGTCCACAGTCTCTGGTCATCCCCTGTACTGTGTCCGCAGTCTCTGGTCATCCCCTGTACTGTCCGCAGTCTCTGGTCATCCCCTGTACTGTGTCCGCAGTCTCTGGTCATCCCCTGTACTGTCTGCAGTCTCTCTCTGGTCATCTCCTGTACTGTGTTCGCAGTCTCTGGTCATCTCCTGTAATGTGTCCGCAGTAACTAATCAGTCTCTGGTCATCCCCTGTACTGTGTCCCCTCAGCTCTGATCCTGAGTACTGTGTACTGTTTTCTCTTTATATAATAAAAAAAAATCCACAGGTGATCAAATACCACCACAAAAAAAAAAACTATATAAATTTTGTTTGGGTACAGCGTTGCATGACCATTCAATTGTCTGTTAAAGCAGCACCGCATAGCAAAAAATGGTCTGGTCACGAAGGCAGGTGGAGGGCGAGTGGTTAAAGTTGACGCTTATTAAATTACAAGTTTTTCTCTTCTGTTGCACTCCCCTCCTCCCACAATCCAGACAATGTAGCTTTTTCCACATTTTAAGAATTATTTTGTACTTTGTTTTTTTCATTTTTTTTGTGCACACAGAATCTGGTGCAGCTGTGCATAGTAAACTAATCAGCTTCTAACTTCAGCTTGTTAATTAAACCTCAGCCATGATGAACAAAGCATATTCCACTATAGTGTGTACCTGGCTCAATCCAGAGCACTAAGTGACACTGTACTTGTGGGGGTGATGAAGATTTTTTTTTTTTTTTTTTTTTTTTTTTACACTGATTGCTTTTACACCCATATAGGATGTAAAAGCAATCATTTCTCTTTCTCTCTGTCTGCATTCTTGCAGTCATTGAGAATTACTGAGTGAGCTGTCAGTGGTCACAGCTTGTCACATGGTACAAGGCTGTTGTGAATAGCCTTGTACCATGTGACCTCTGTGATCATTCACAGATTTCACACGTAGTAAGCAATGATGTCACAAGTGACATCTTGCTTACTACTTTGCATGTGATCACTGATTCGCCAATCAGTGATCACATGATCGGGACCTCGTACAGAGGTCCCGTCCGACGATCAGTGTTTCACTGTGTCCGGAGGACACAGCGGGCACCAGGACCACGGTGGTGCGCGCTCCCAGGGAGCGCACACAGCTAGAAAAGGCGGGTGCCGTTTTTATAAACAGCAGGCGGACGGCAAGAGGTTAAACCTTATGCGCAAAAGAAAAATCTGCGCTACGTGCAAATTGTATAAGCAAATTATTATAAATATGATTGGCAGGACAGCAGCACTCATAAAATACCTGAATACAAGGTACTACCAAATGTAAAAAAAAATAAAAAAAAGTTGCACTATGCCTTTAAATAAACTCTTCCATGCAAATCAGTATGACATAAATGTGAGCAATATTAACAAATGTGAAAGCAAAAATGAAAATGCACAAATTCAAAGTTCACAAAAAAATGTCCAGATTAAAACTATAGGTAACCATCTGCGTGCAAATGTGGTAATTCCTCTGTGTATTTTGCTCCAGTGATCACTGAAAAAAACAAGGAAACTGCTTACCAGGTAGGTAGACGCCTAAGTAATAAGAGGTCTGAGTGCACTCTAGGATCTGCCGGGGGCATTGAGGAATGCACGTGGGAACCATTCTGCCAAAAGGTTCTCAGCCACAGACAGTACAGGGCATCAAACATAAGTAGGACAGAGCTCCATACTATAGAATTCTAAAACCACATTTATTGTGTGATAGAAAGATGCACACAAAGTAACTGCATAGAGAGAAGAGTGAAATGGCACTCTAATTGGCTGAATGGACATGATGACGTCAACACTAAGCTCCATCTGACACGTTTTGTCCGACGTACACTACAGTTCCGGTATTTTCCTCGTGATCCGTTCACTTTAAGAAGGTGGGTTGGTAGGCATCTCTAAGGTATGCTTTACCATGCACCCTAAAAGACGAAACCTACAAAATCGTGTGCTATTACTTTGAACGTTGGCCAAGGGACCTCATGTCTAGGGAGTTCAACACTAACATTTTATTAGAGTGCCAAAAACGGATGCTTTTCTTATGGGTTTTATGGTCCCACCAGTCAGTGAAAGAAGTCATATATACTATATGGCCGAAAATGACCTCCTGACATATACAGTATCTCCTATTTACGGCTGTGTGTTGAGTTATTTTGAGGGGACAGCAAATTTACATGTTATACAAGCTGTACACTGACTACGTCACATTGTAGCAAAGTGTCATTTCTTCAGTGTTGTCACATGAAAAGATAGAATAAATTTTATTTACAAAAATGTGAGGGGTGTACTCACTTCTGGGAGATACTGTGTGTATATATTGCTAAATATATATTATGATTAGCCTGTTGGATTTCCCATTCCAAAACCATGGTCTTTAATATAGAGTTGCCCCCTACTGTGTAGCTATAATGCCCTCCACTCTTCTTAGAAGGTTTTCCACAAGATATTTAAACGTTTCTGTGGGAATTTGTAAAGAAAGAGCATATGTGAGGTTAGGTGCTGATGTGGTTTTCAGTGGGTGTGGTTATTCATCTTACAGGTGTTCTGTAGGGTGGAGATCAGGGCTTTGTACAGTCACTTAAATTCCTCCACACCAAACTCCCAAACCCATACCTTTTTATGGACCTAGCTAGTACATAGGAGCACGGTCATCCTGGAACGGAAAAGGACCTTCCCCAAACTGTTACCACAAGGTTGAAACAACAGAATTGCTCAAAATGTCTGTGTGCTGTATCATTTAACAGTAATCTTCACTCTTGGAAAAGCCTGAATTCAATTATTTGGAGGGATGTCCACAAAATTGCCATCTAGTGTAACTGTATAGCAGGAAATATATACAGGTGAAACTCGAAAAATTAGAATATCGTACAAAAGTTAATTTATTTCAGTAATGCAACTTAAAAGGTGAAACTAATATATGAGATAGACTCATTACATGCAAAGCAAGATAGTTCAAGCCGTGATTTGTCACAATTGTGATGATTATGGCTTACAGCTCATGAAAACTCCAAATCCACAATCTCAGAAAATGAGAATATTGTGAAAAGGTGCAATATTCTCGGCTCAAAGGGCCCCACTCTAATCAGCTAATTAAGCCATAACACCTGCAAAGGGTTCCTGAGCCTTTAAATGGTCTCTCAGTCTGGTTCAGTAGGAATCACAATCATGGGAAAGACTGCTGACCTGACAGTTGAGCAGAAAACCATCATTGACACCCTCCATACGGAGGGAAAGCCTCAAAAGGTAATTGCAAAAGAAGTTGGACGTTCCCAAAGTGCTGTATCAAAGCACATTAATAGAAAGTTATGTGGAAGGGAAAGTTGTGGAAGAAAAAGGTGCTCAAGCAGCAGGGATGACCGCAGCCTGGATTGTCAGGAAAAGGCCATTCAAAAGTGTTGGGACTTTCAGAAGGAGTGGACTGAGGCTGGAGTCAGTGCATCAAGAGCCACCACACACAGACGGATCCTGGACATGGGCTTTAAATGTCGCACTCCTCTTGTCAAGCTGCTCCTGAACAACAAACATCAGAAGTGTCTTACCTGGGCTAAAGGAAAACAGACCTGGTCTGTTGCTCAGTGGTCCAAAGTCCTCTTTTCTGATGAGAGCAACTTTTGCATCTCATTTGGAAACCAAGGACCCAGACTGTGGAGGAAGAATGGAGAAGCACACACACTGCAAGATGCTTGAAGTCCAGTGTGAAGTTTCCACAGTCTGTGTTGATTTGGGGAGCCATGTCATCTGCTGATGTTGGTCCACTGTGCTTCATTAAGTCCAGGGTCAATGCAGCCGTCTACCAGGAGATTTTGGAGCACTTCATGCTTCCTTCCGCAGACTAGCTTTATGGGGATGCTGACTTCATTTTCCAGCAGGACTTGGCACCTGCCCACACTGCCAAAAGCACCAAAACCTGGTTCAATGACCATGGGATTACTGTGCTTGACTGGCCAGCAAACTCGCCTGACCTGAACCCCATAGAGAATCTATGGGGCATTGCCAAGAGAAAGATGACAGACATGAGACCGAACAATGCAGAAGAGCTGAAGGCCGCTATTGAAGCATCCTGGTCTTCCATAACACCTCAGCAGTGCCACAGGCTGATAGCTTCCATGCCACGCCGCATTGAGGCAGTAATTGCTGCAAAAGGGGCCCAAACCAAGTACTGAGTACATATGCATGCTTATACTTTTCAGAGGTCCGATATTGTTCTATGTACAATCCTTGTTTTATTGATTGCATGGAATATTCTAATTTTCTGAGATTGTGGATTTGGGGTTTTCATGAGCTGTAAGCCATAATCATCACAATTATGACAAATCACGGCTTGAACTATCTCATATATGCTTTGCATGTAATGAGTCTATCTCATATATTAGTTTCACCTTACTGAAGTATGCATTACTGAAATAAATGAACTTTTGCACAATTCTAATTTTTCGAGTTTCACCTGTATGCTGTATATTTTAATGAAGATTTTTATGGTTGACTTTAATGTATATGGCTAAATTCTGTAAATTATTATTTTGCAGTGTTTGATGAATACAAACTTGTGATCATGGGAGATATGAAGACCCCAGACTTTGACGACCTTCTTGCAGCTTTTGACATTCCTGACATGGTGGATCCCAAGGCAGCTATTGAGTCTGGCCATGATGAACATGATCACTTGAAGCAAAATGCCCAAGGTGATGATGATACCCACATCCCTTCATCATCAGACGTTGGTGTCAGTGTTATAGTGAAAAACATAAGAACCATGGACTCTTCTGAAGCAACAGACAAAGATCATCACTCAACCGGTAATGGCTTGCACAATGGCTTTTCTCACCATTTCAAATCTTGAACGGTTTAACAAAGAAGGGCTGAAGTCTCTAAAGGAAAAAGCAATTGCATCTGGCACCATTCCCAAAGAGCCTGTCTTTAATCAGTTCAGTCCCATTTCCAGTGCTGAAGAATTTGATGAGGATGAAAAAATTGAAGTGGATGATACTCCTGATGGAGAAGCCTTGTGCCCAGGTTTTGGTTCCAGTATTTTAACTCAGCATCACTATGAACGGGACAAAACTGTTGAACATTTAATAAAGTCTGGGACTGCTATCTCCAACAACTTGGAAAAAAACAAAGAGAGCAAACAAGACTATGAGGTTGGTTCTGTATTCGACACCTTTAAAATTAAAAATCTTGATGAGAAACTGGAAGAGGATGCTCAAAGAATGATAGAGAGCAAAGCTATTGATGGCAAACTGGACTCAGAAAAAAGTGAAGTAAATGGAGGAAATGTAGCACAGCTGAAGCTAAAGTCTTCTGCAAAGCTTTCATCATGTATTGCTGCCATTGCTGCTCTTAGTGCGAAGAAGGCAGCATGTGACCCAAAGGATATACACACCATTTCAGAGGAGTCATCTCAAGTGCCAAAAGAAATTGACAATCCATTGGCCAACATAAAGTCTCCTGAAGCTCAACTTACAGTGCAAAATCTGATTGATGGTACAAAGAAAACCCCAGTAAAGCCATCGGACAGCCCAAGGAGTGTATCGAGCGAGAACAGCAGTAAAGGGTCTCCATCATCCGGTGGCTCAACACCCGCTATACCAAAAGTAAGAATTAAGACCATCAAGACTTCCTCTGGGGAAATCAAAAGAACTGTCACACGAGTGTTACCTGATTTTGAAGCTGAAGGTACAAAACAAGTATCAGATCAAACTTCACCACTGGTAGTCTCCTCTCTCTTGTCAT